TTCACGTGAAACCTATCTTTTTCATAGCGTAGACAAACAAGAAAAAATTTCACTCTTTACCATGCCGAATGCTTTCATTTCATTTCGTTTGAAAGTTCAGTTTTTCAGTGTTTTCGGTTATATTAGAGGTTGTCCGTTAATAAAGTTTGATCTTTTAAAAATAATTGCGCGTATATTTTTATGAGGAATTCCGAAGATGAAATACGAATGTAAAATTAACGAGGTTGCAATGACGAACAAAAAAATTATACTTGTCCAAATTTACGTAACATTCCTGACGTAGAGCCTTAAAGTAATCAATATCGATTAATTTTTTCTGCAAAATTTAACTGCATACCAGCCAGTGTGGGAAGTGTGTGTGTGTGTCTCATTGGTAATTTATGCGCTTTAATTGCTTGTTTACGGGATTAACTAACGAACTAATGCAGCGAATGAAAATAGATTAATTGTTTGCGTATTTGACAAACTTTTCGGGTACTTTATTGAAGTTCTGTACGGAAATGGAAATTAGATTGGTCTGAAAGGTTGGTGAGAGTTTTCAAACTTGCAGTGACGACTAGGTAATTATGTTTTGGGTCCTTTCATCGATGAAGCTCACTCTAACTAACGTTTTCACTGGCGTATTTCTTTAATAATTACTGCTTTTAGTTGCTGAGGAAATCAAAGTAACTGAAATAATGAGTTTTATGTGATTAATTCCACGTATGACGTGACATTAGCATAAAGTTATGCTATATCATCCTTCTCTGTCTTATGGCTCCTTAATGATTGTTTTTCAAGTTTTTAGAGTTAATCACTAAGTTCTGCACTACCCATTTTTTTCCATCGTGTGCTTAGGGTTAAGTTTTTACTTCAATTTTTAATCTAATATAAGAAACGTATTGTTAGGTTCACTGAATAAGTAATATATTTATGCACAAATGTTTATGAGTAGTCAGTCTATGTAATTGATAACGTGCAAGTATGCCACTCTTTAAGATAGTTTGTACATTAACATAAACTTACGTGACATTACGTTTAACTTTCATATTCCTTGTGCAAAATCTAAGTAACACAGAAAAGTTTATCTACAGTTTTCTTCCTAAACATATGGTTAATGTACATTTTTGAGTTCACGCCTCAGTAACAGAAGTACGAGAATAAGTATGTTTAATTCATACTTAATCTTATGAATTATTTACTGCAAGACATTGGTTAGCTTTTGAAGATAGCTTTCTTCTTCCTCCCTTCTATTTTCTCGATTTATTTAATCACGAATTTTGGAATGATCTGCTCTTATGAAGATAAAAGTGTGCCATATTAAAAGTATTCACTTTCCGAATTTCGATAATTTTCCAGTATTTGTTTATTTGCGGCTTTCAAGCCAGGAGAAAGCCAAAAGTTAAATAAAGAATTGTTTAAAACCGTTCTATTTGATTCATTTTCATTCGCTGTGCAGTACAGATGAGAAATGCTTAAGCAAAAAACAGAACTTCCCAATTATAAATTGCCTACATGGAAACTTCTAATTCTGGTGATACTTTTCTCTCAACTTTTACGTACTCAAAGAAAGCAAATATATTTCTTTTGTTTTGGTAGATTTGTGTAAGACCTGTAACGGTTTGTTTGCCTTGTTTTTCAGTGATTTTGCTGTTAAAACTTGGTGTTTTGGATGCCAACAAGAAAGTTTGATCTGACAACAAATGGAGGAGAGGTTATTATTTCTCAATTTGCTTGTTCATCGCGTGCAAATTTGTCACCAGCGAGCAATTGTGTTTGTGCATATAATGTATTGTACGAGTAGTCTTCTTTCTTTGAAGAAGTTTTTTTGAAACAAGATTTTGTTGGCAAGTCTACATTTGGACAAATGTATAGCAGACAGTACACGTGTATGTTTCTCATGAATTATTGTAAAAAATATTGTGGTGCTTTTTTTAATCTCAAGGAGTTGCATCGCAGATTTTTTTAAACTATGTGAAATTGTTGATGCATTTATGCGCTGCATATAAGCAAGGCAGCGCAGTGTTCTAGAATTTGATCACTTTTATTCTTTTAATCTTATCTGCAATAGATTTTTGTGCAGATAAACAAGAATAACCAATTTTAGATTTTCAGTTGTTAGCATATGCCAAAGCATCTTTCACTTTCGGGATATGTCATAGTTATTGTAAGAAAAAGGAACACTTTTTTAGATAGCTATACATATACTACTATTGGCAGACTTGGTTTTATGGTCTGCATTGTTATGTAGGCTTCTTATCTTGAAAGTAATCGTACAAATAGCGTATTTTGTCCATATTCATGGCAAACACATGTTGGAAATGTTTCTTTCTTTCTTATCATTTCTCGTGTTTAGATTGAAGTAGAAAAGAATTGTTGAATCGATCAGATGTTTCCAATGATTAAATTTAGCTCGAAATGGAAGGGAGTTAATTTATTTGTGAGCCAAATTGTTAATTACAGCGGAAATGTGTATTCCATGACTTGAGCATTTTGAAGCTTAGCAGGCGATTTTATTTTGCTCCATTATATTTTGGGTTTTGTCCAGATTGCTAACTTTATTTCATTTTGTTCTGCTTACTTTCTACTAGTAAAAGGCTTTACTAATCTTGCTCTTTTTCGCACATCAGGCGTATGCTCATCTATAACAAACTAGCTCGTCGTAGTAATTACTCGAAGTCTTTTTGCTTGCATTCCGTCTTTTCTGGCTCACTAACGCACATTGTCTGATTTCAGTTACGATGCTTAGAGTTTTATATTTGAATTTAACAAGTTTACTGTCTAAGCCTTGCTGCTGTTCTCACTGTTGCTTACTTATTGCTCTGATTGTTTTACATTTCATTTGTTTCTCGTTCATTGAGAGTGAACATTATTTTGCACTGCACTATGTATGCAAAAATTGCTTCGGCAATTGTTCACATTTATTGCCATTCTAATATGCTTCATGCAGTGTTGTTTGTTTTATAAATACTGCAGCACCTGAATATTTTTTTCGCTTATTAATCATTTCTTCTCTTTATGATGATCAAATGACTATTAGTAATTATGAATTGATTTGATCTAATTTGTATTAATGATTCAGAAAGATGCTTATTAGTTACAGTCTTAAGCTTTCTGTTTGCAGTATCGATAAAAGAGCTAGAGATTGATTCCACTGGTTGGTTTGCACAAATCCGATTAGCAGTATGATCTGAGCAGCTGTAAAAGTTTCACTTATATATCTTCATTGTAGTGCCAACTGTTGTTAAGCTGTGGTAGATGCACGGATGAATAAATGAATATTTTTAATTATTAGTGAAGAAAGGATTGATGTGTGGTCAGTTCATAAATATTCTTGTTTTTTACATAATATTTGCAAACTTGACCATTTTTGCAGTTGATAATTCATAAGTTAATGTAAACAGTGTAAATTGAACGGGCTACAGTGTTTAGGAACTTCTGATATTTTAAGCAGTTATATTTTGTAATCCACTTTTCAGATGTTTTTTTTAGTTTTGCTTTTTTCTTTGCAAGTAGGTCACAATTAGGCATGCTCTACATCAATATTTTTATTCGTTTTTGTGTTTGTTCATCCATTCTGTTGTGAAGATGGAAGTGTTGTTGTGGCATTCTTTTTAAAGTAAAGCGAAATATTTTCACTTAATTCTAAGTTTTCATAAAAAATTTAGAATTAATTAAATGTGATTAGTGAAAAGAAATGGAGAAACTGAGACAGAATTGTTCTCAGATATTTCAAATTTATCATAATGTGTTATGTTTGATTTAAAAAATATTTATAATTGCATATATCAATCAGTCTTCAGTCTTCATTTATCGCACATACCACTCCGGAAAATAGTTTTTTAAGTGCGAAAGTCGCTCAGAGAAAAGTGTGTTCACGTTGTACTTTTCACAGAGATGTATGTGCATGAGTTATGTCGTTCTGTCTCTGTAGATGTACTCAATTCCGATATTTCAAGAAAATATACGCCGTAAAACAAAGCATGTATTAGGCACAGTTGTAGTCACAACTGCCACGTTCTAATTATTACGATACTGATAGTGACTGTGAAGCAAAGTCGCAGTGGCTAGCAAGCAATCACATTGTTATGAGTTTACTGAAGAGCAGTAATTTAATTAATTACATTTTAGAAAGAAACCAGGGGGCAAGAAGTGTGATTTGAGAAAATTTGCCTCTTTTGGTTTTTTTGTTTTTTGTGTGAAAGATTGTTCTATTCTGAGGCTTATATTTCAAGTTATTCACTATAAACTGCACACACTTTTGCGTAACCAAATTGACTACTCTTGTCCTCTGCCCTGCCCCTTCATACCTTTTTTTGGCTCCCATTGCATTGATAGTATTGAGTGGAAATCAATTACCTCAAGCCTAGACTGCTGCTTAGACTAGGTTTCAGGAACTAGCGTTTATATTGTTCTTTAATGTCACTGCTACTCTTTATAGTCGTAAAGCATAGAGCAGTGACTGGTCCTGAAACTGAAGATAACGTTAATCTTGACAAGCAAGTTCTATCTTTTTACATGTGGCAATTTTTGAAATTTGGTTTGAATGCATATGCATATGGACAAGAATTCTAATTACGTCAAAATTTGGGGTCATTTGTCATATCACAAATTAATTTAAGGCTTGTTGTAATTAATTGATAAACATTCGTGTTCATTCATTGTCATCTTATAGGCTAGCAACTTTATGTTTTCGAAAACATTTTATAGTTTCAGCTCAATTTTAGCTCTTGTAAAGAGTTATTATTTATTGCATATTCAGTTGCATGTTCTTATAATTGAGATAAAATAAGCTCCCTCTTCAACCACTGATTGCTTGTTTTTGATATAATTTGAGAACTGTTCTTCTGCGTATTCACTTGCTCACACGTATATTTTATCATGTTACCATATTCGTGTGCAAATCATACAAATACGTGAGAGAAATGGATATCAGCTGCTAGTATTTATTAAAGCGAGTGATATGTTTCATGTTTGTATAGGTCACTTTGTAGCGTGCCAGTTGTAGTAATTTCATTTCAATGAGCAGCTGTAAATTAGTGTTTCTGGAAGCAGTTGTTGGTTGATTTGACCTGGGATTACTACCTTACTTATTAGCTCATAGTCTGATGCTTTTGCTATTTTTCATATTCAACTTTCATCGTTAAAAGTGTGAAAAATTCAAATCATTAAAAGTTTATACAAAGTTTATACACTCTTTATGCATAGATTGAAAAAGCTCATACTAAAAATACATACATAAAGTTCTGATGGCTTAGTTTTACTTTTCTGTTAAGGAAGTTTTGTTTTTTGAAACTAAAATAGCTTACCTTCAAGAAAACAGCTATTTGGTTTTTGATGATAACAAATGCTGATGTGTTCTCGAACTGCTGTGAAATATTTGTATACTGAGGAAAGTCGTTCTGTTATGAAAAAACGCTAGTTATTAATATATCATTTCATCGCCTACTCTCGTTGCCTTGTTGTATAAGCAAAAACGAGTGCAAAATTACTTTATTTTTCCATTCAGAATTGAGATTGAGAGTAGGAAAAAAGGTTAAAATATTTAGTTGAGTAAAGTTATTTTCATTAAAAAAGTATCGTGCAGAGTTTTTCAAACCCTTGTTTGGTTGCTATTTTACTATCGAAGTTGCATCAGATTCGATTATTGATGATAAGTATTTAATTATGGTTCTTAAGCAAATGATTTCAGTCCAGAAGCTCCGCCAAGTAGAATAACGGTTGTCGCGGAAGAATCGGAAATGCCGACGACAATAATGCCTCCAGCGCAAGTGGAAGGTAGCCGATATGCATCAGTGATTAGTAGCCCTCCCCTTCCGGCCCTCGTAAAGTTAGTTGTGTTGATTAATTCTTATCTGCCATAGAAATGACAGGGATGATTGAGTGAGTAATATTTATTGTTCAATTTGATTACTGAGTGATTGATTGCTTTGGCTCTTTCCATGCCTTTATTAATTTATTACCATGTTTGCAGTATTGTCAACATTAAATGAATGATTGCTTATTCACATTGAGACAGTCTATCAATGTGTGGATGGAATGCTATGTTTTGTCTTACAAAAAGTGTAGAGTTCTGAATGTTAAAAAGTAGATGCGATTCATCCATATGCATTCTTTCAGAAGAATGGAAAATGAATTAACAGATAATCCTTTTCGCCCGGAGGAATCTCTCTTTCACGAAGTTGATCCCATCGTAGAAGCATACAAAAATAAGCCTTATCCACCATCTTTGCCTGGCTCACAAAATTCGACGCCTGTAAAAACAGCTAATCAATCTTATTTAAATGGTAATATTTTACGTATCAAACATATTTCTACATTTATCTATCTGTTACTGTTGTGAGATTGTGAATATCGAATGAGCATAAACTGCGAGTATAAATCGTAGCGAGTTTCAAGTCATCTCTTTATGGCATATATATATATAACTAGCATTATAATCTCTTTCTGTATTTCTCTTACTTTCCTTCACAAAGTTTTCTAATGCCTTTCATTACGCCATAAAATAATACTAGTTTCACCTTCGCGATTTTACTTTTCCAACGTAAAAAAACATATTTATAGACATATTTCTAGTATGACAGGCACAAAACTAATAATTAGTTGATATAAGTAGATATATCAACTAATTATTAGTTTTGTGTATTTTATGACTGAAATTAAAGATTGTTATTCTTAAGTCATTAAAATACACACGATAAAGAATACTAAATGTAAAGTTATTGCCAGACATCTATTTTAAAGTCATATAGGATGTGTAGGACGAAAATTTTATACTTGGCAAAGTTCACCATCAATATATAGTAATATAAATGAATGATGTTAAATTGCTTATTTCAAGAGTTGAGTATACGTATTGCTTCAGGTCTGTCACCATCATTTTTATTGGGAAGTAAAGAAATGGATTTGCCGCAAGGAGTATCTGATACAACGCCGTTGAATTCATCTACTCCGCTTATAAACAGTATGGATCAAGCCGGTATAGAGGATAGTAGTGTGGTTGATTTGCCGAAAGCTCGACAAGTGGAATGTGTCCATATCGAGAAGAAAAAGTGCGGTTGTTGTACTCTGCAATAGGCCTGTTGCATTTATACTGCTTGCTTAACCTGTACCATTTCTCACTTCATTTTGATCATTATTTACAATATAATGACATTCTCTGAACGTGATAATTAGGCTAGGAAAAATTGGGCTTAATATTAGAATGCGTCAAGTTTGATCAAGCTTTTAATTTAAGTAGGTTGTTCAAGGAAAATTAGCATGGTTAGATAGTAAACATAAGAATTATTGCTATATGTGATACCAGTGATTGATGTAAATAGTTGTAATACAGCGATATACTTACCGGTTTGAAAGGCAATGTTTTAAGTAATGGACTATGAAATGTTGTAGATTTTTTGTCATTTTTAAAGTTCTCGAAACAATAAGAAACATTTTTCAAAGAAATTTGCTTATATACAAAATATTCGTGTACTATTAGGACAACAACAAATATATTACTTCTTAATACCGCAACAATTAAAAATTTACTTTTGCTGATGTCGCTACTGCTGCTGCTGTTGGGAATGATCTCAATTTAAGCTTTTAGATGGTGAAAAATTCAAATTTGGTTCGCTTCATACAAATTCATAATGTGATGTTGCGTAATTGTTTAAGGATTTCTTTAAATAAGGCTATAAATATTGGAAGTTATAAATTTTGGTTTGAAAAGTTATACTAATTATGACTAGCTTTCTCGGTACAGATCCACTGAAATTTATGGACACTATGATGTTATTAAGGTGATAAAAACTATTTTGCATCTTTGTGCTTATCAGAAAATGAGTGATAAATTTTCGTCTGAAATATTCATTGAAATTTTAAAGATCGATAGCACTGACGGAATTCCAATTCCAATTGTTACTTGAACTTTGCTTTAACGCAATGATAAATATCATCACTACGTTTCCTCAGCTTCTCACCATTTCCAGCTCTTGCTTGTTCAGTTGTAAACTGCATTTGCATGGTGAATATTAGGAACGCTTTAGTTCAATCACCAAACATTACCTACATATTTTGGTTCTTTTTAGTTGATGAACTACTCATTCTCACTACCTAATGCACAATAAATTAATTATATAGTATACAAATTTATATTTAAAGCCTCTGAATATGAAATAGACTATAATTGTAGACTTTATTATGACATTGGTAATGTCTGTATTTTAGCATTATTACGATGCTGCAGTAACCCTACAAAATAGTCTGGATAAAGAAAAAACAGTATAGCATGTAGTGTATCTAATAGTCTCTGTATTCCTTCTCTTTACTGTACAAACTGTTAGATACACTATATTTAGCTGTTCTAACCTTTTAATTGTGACTTCTCCATTCTGCTCATATGAAAGCAAGAGTTTAACCTTTTCAAACTTTGATGTTACCAACAAGTATAAGCAAAAGCATATGGTTTAATGTGACAGTGGGTTCGGTAAAGGAAAGAAGAGAAATACAGTCAGTTTACGCTGTAATCTTAGTTGCATGATAATTATTATTTATGGTTGACAAAGTTTGCCTAATTATTTTCGTCCATCTTATTTTTGAATTGAAATTCAGGAAACGCATACATCACTGAAGGAATTGTTTACTTCTTACCAAATAGCGTCAGCAATGCAATTGGCGTATTCATATTCAAGCTTGGCTTTAATTACTGTACTTGTACAAAAAGTCGAAGAATTTGCCGCACAAGAATACAGAGTAAAGCAAACACTGAATGTGTTGAAAACAATACTATCCTTTTTCGTTTACCTCTTTTTTATGCAAAAGTATAAAGCTTAATAGCAATCAGTCTTCTAAGTTGGTTGATCATAATTTTTTCTTCCTTATTTGGAAGCTTAAAAGAATAATAATAGTTGTTAGCTAAGTGTTTTATTATTAATTCTGATTCAAAATTTTTGGCAAATAGTTGCTATTAGCTGTGATAAAATAATGCAATGAGAATACTTGTTTTTCACGTATGTGAAGAAAAAGCTTTATTATTTGTTTTATGTTTGCTTATTTACCATTTGCTCATAAGAAGCTTTCTTTGCCAGTTGTATTGCCTGCCACAAAGTTTTAATCAACTTTCTGAAATTCATCCATACAGTTCTGGTCTTTTCAATTATGCAGAAGTTTATATGAAAAGTGCGCGGAAGTAGAAAGTATTTTACAAGGAAGTAAAGCAGTGAATCTCTGAAATATTTTGAAATCATTGCGTCAGCAGCACGTCTACTTAATTTTTGCATTCTCAAGTACTTTATTTATGTAAACGGATTCTGTTCTTAGCTGTTACTGTCAATCTTTTTTTGATGCTTTAGTTGTCGGTGTCGAAGGTTCTTGCATGTTGCCTTTGTTCTCTCTTATTTGAACTGAATTTTCTCTCTTGAATCATTTAGAATTTTTTATACTGCAGTGAAGTTTGAAGAAAGAGTGAGGTATCTCGAAAATATCATCTCGTGCTTTTGATTTAATTTCGGGAACTTTAGATTACATTTGATTACTGTTTAATGTCTATGAGCAGATCTGTGAATAGAGGGTTTTTTATAACTTGCCAAATATTATATTTGTTTTCAATGTAAGAATTATGACGTGATTGTTATATTTCTAAGCATTTCAGCATTCACTTTTTTGGATTTGATTAATAAAGTTTGCATAAAGTATTCATAAGATGTTTTAGTCAAAGTTTTCAAACTTGTCTAATATAATTTTTTGACTATGAAAGTGGAAGTACCTAATTTGTGTATTGGTTCTGCTTATTTTTCGCATTATATTAGTTTTCTTCATAAAACTAATCTATATTTATTTATCCGATTATGTTTTTGATTATTATCTTTTTGAACAGCTATCAGTGATTATTGGACAGTCAAGAATCTTGTATTTTTGCTATATAAATATTTTCGCTTCTCCATTTTTCAGAATATAGGATGATTTAGCTAATAATTGGATTAGATACGTCGTTAATTTTTAACATGTTATAAAGTTCGTAGATTGAGTAGACTGCAGAAGCACTCCTATGATGTCATGTTCCAAGAGATAATAATTTCATTAAAGTTGTCACCAGAAAATATCTAATTAGTTTTACTGAATCTATGAACTGCATCATTTTATAATTACAACATAATTTTTTGAATATGATAATTTAGTTGCCAAGCTTTTCGCCTTCCATCTTGTTACTGTCTTTATTAGTTTCATTTACGGCCTTTGTATTGTATCTTTTCCTTCACAGCAGTTCGTAATAAATCATTTGAAGCTTGATTGGCAGTATTATATGCATTAAAGAGATGCAAAAAATTCTGTGACATTTTCGAGGATGGATTTAAATACCTCACACTATCATTTCGGCTTCTGGGCTTGTATCAGAACCAGGTCAACGTCCAGGTAAACGTATTTCCCTCAAGTGCATGGTCATGCATATTGACAGGCTTCGCTAGCTGCTAAAAAGCATGGACGGTTTTCAGTAGTAATGATCTCAGGCTTAGAGAGTAGTTGCTCACACACCGCACTTCTTGATATACAGGGAGATATAAAGGCAAGGTCATCCATCTCTTGCCATTCTCCTGAAACTATTTATATATGATTAATCTTCGACTTTGTGTATATGTGTACAATTATGGATAATCCAATTTAGTACCACCATCTGCTCCTCTGTTTTGCAAATCGTCATTACAACATACATTTATTTTATCACCTGACAACTGAACTGTGAACTACCAAATTAACCTATCCTTCGTCTTTAACTTATCATTTCTTAAATTTTCAAAGTAATCAGTTTACCCATAAGCTTTTGCTAAATCTTATGATTCTTGAAGTAACAATCTGTCATCATTTTCAGCTGATACACAGAAGTGATGATTTTATTCGGATGCAGAAAATAATTCAAAATTAGCTTGTGATGAAAATTTTCTTGAAAAAAGCAAATCTTTTCAGTATATGGAAAAAACCATTAAATTAAGGCTACTTCTTAGATTGGAATATTTGTAAGGAAATGAAGTTTTCCTATTATTAGCATTTAATCAAGAACGAAATAAAATATTAATGAGTATTCTGATAATATTTCAAGATTAGAATTAGAAAAACTGCGCAAATTAGTTTAGCTAATGCATTTGCTACTTAGCAATTCACTATTTTTTGACTTAAATTGAATTAGAAGTTTTAATTCAGAGTAACATCATTTGATATTTTTTGAAATTACTTTGTTATCAGGCCATCATTCATCCATATAATTAGCGTTATCTGTGGCTAGAACGAACAGTTTCAACTCATAGCCAAACAAAGGTTAGTCAAAAAGAAACTGCCTCATTTAGTTTTCATCATTACAATGCTGCAATATGAAATGGCTTTCTCAAGTAGATTCATGTTCATTTCAGTCCTTAATTCCAATCATCAAGAATTAAAAATTAACGCTGAAAAGTTTTGCTCTAGAAATTTTTGGAATTTTTTAATGAAAGTACCAAAAAAATTTGGCTAGCATAATTGTTGCTTTTAGTGTATTCTTGCTCTGTTTTCTGCTTCCTAAAATAGATACAAAACATTACAAAAAAGTTCGGTTAAATTCTTTATAAACATAATTTAGTCTCAGAAAATATGTCTTCAATGTAGCATGCTTTTAATATTAGTAATTACTAATACATTGGATTACGATCTGAAAAGATCTACTGATTAAAGTGCTAAATAATTAAATGTATGAAAGACATATACAAAATATACAAAATTATTTTATGTACCGATAAGTATTAAAGTAAAAGGTGCCCCTATGAAAATATTCAGAGTTGTATTTCCATTTCAGCAAAATACTTTTCCATTTATAAGCAGTGACAAATTACAGTGATAACAAAGTTTTCAACTGTATTAAAGAATTAACTCTTTTATCAGTGATGAGATAGATGTGCAGTGCTACAAAAATCAGTCAAAAAGTTTATTTTTGTTAAAATGTAAGAGCAAAAAGTTCTATCAAATGGAGAAATGCTACAAATGTTTGAAGGGAATTCTAAAAGTCGATCATGATTTGTTGTTGGATATGTGTGAGCTAACTCAAAAGCTTATTAAAAAACTAATTAAAGTCT